ACCATTCCATATAGTATGAGGCCTTTTGGGAAGGAGCCCAAAAACAAAATTGTGCGGGTCTAGCCCAAAGTGGACAATATCATACTATCGGGCCTAACAGTTCATTATTTGATACATTAAACTAAAAGTTTAAATTGATAAAACTTAAAAGATTAGCAAGCTAATGTTTAAGTGGTAAAGAAATTCAAGTTCATGAGGTTTGAGATTGAATTTCACTTCTTATACCTCTTAGTAACCTTGAAACTATATATGTTAAATCACTATTTCACTATTTTGATTAGGATTAAATTCACTCAATACCAATTTTTTGATAAAGAGATTCTGAGATTTTTCTATTGAATATCAATTCCTTACATATTCAAGAGAGAAATTAGCATTAAGAATTTTTTTAAAAAAATTATGAATCTAAATTATATTCCTTGCAACTTGAATCAATATGTGATTCATCTCAATTCTTGATTCAGAAAATATTTTCCAATCGAATTCCAAATAAAATCAATTCATGAATAAAATAATGAAAAAAATCACAACATATATAAAGATCAAGAGTCACATAAAGTACAATAAGTTACATCCAAACTGAAAAAGAAAAAAAATAGCTACTTATTTTCATGATAGTCAACTAACAAGAGGAGAGAAGAAGAAAAAAAATAAGAAAAAAAAATGAAGAAGAAGAATCTAGTAAAAATTGTTGTGGTTTTGTTGGAATCCACCAAAATCTTCAACTTGAGTAGTCTTTAACGTTAGAGATGGAGATGGGAAAGGTCTCAAAGTAGCCCAAAAGAACTTGTCATCCTCTAGCATGACTCTCAAAACTTGCTCACCCTCTTACCTATTCCTACCTTACTCCCATAATAAGTATGATCATCGCAATCAAACCATAAGAAAAATGTAAAGGTAAACTTGGATTCAAAGTAAGTAACATAGTATAGAAGTACTAGAACTGTGAAAAAAAATATACAAAATTTAATTAGATTAAAATTATAGACTAAATTATATACTATAAATTTTTAAAAAAAAATGTAGATACCTCATCATCAAAATCAACTTCTTCATATTTTTGTAGATACTTATCTTCCAAGTCTATATATTATTTTGGTCTAATAATACCAATGAAAACTACATGTTAAGAAAATGAATTATTAGACAATTTAAATTAATAATTAAAACGAGACTATATAAGCTTTTAGTTATAATATCATAATAGAATTTAAATAATAAATAAATTATTATTAAGTAGGGATGGCAAAGTGGGCCGTGGCCCGCGGGCCGGCCAGTTGGCCTGCCAAAAATTGGCGCGTCGAGCCCATCAGTTTAACCTGCCAACCCGCTAAGCCCGCCCTGCCAAGCCCGCCAACCTACCGGGCCAAATAGCAGGTCAGCCCGCCACAACCCGCTGACCCGCATATATATATTTTTATTTTTTTAATTTAATTATTTTTATGTTTATTTTATTTTGATGTAGAAGATGAAGATTAAGATGATCAAGAAAAAAAGTAGAGACAACTTCTTCCAAGAGAGCTTATAATATTCTTAAAATAAAAATTCAAAGTTAATTAATTGTATTTGAACTTCTTTTGTGGACTATCAAAAAATTTAGTTTATAAGTAATTTGTAAGTTTATAATTTGGTTTTGATTTTGGTGTAAGTGAACTAATTTCTATTTGATTTTGTTCTATGTTTGTAATTTGCTTTTGTTGAACATATATTATGTACAATATGTATGCATTTTTAATTTCATATGGTTATATTTATTTATTTGTAGCAAAAAAAATTTATTTGAACATAAAATTTTTTTTTCCATGTTTTTAATTTTTTTTGTATGCGGGCAGGCCCGCCAACCCGCTAGCCCGTCCTTAGACAGGGTAGGCCAACATCCCCAGCCCGTTTTACATTGGTAGGTTGGCCTGTCCCGACCTATTTTTTACAGACCAATGGCGGGCCGGGCCAAAACGGGCGAGACTGACCCGTTTTGTCATCCCTATTATTAAGTGTGTGTGTATATATATATATATATATAGGGGCGGGACGGGTTAGGTACCATAGTACCTACACTCGCGCCCATACCCACTAAATTGTGCAAGTTTATACATGTCCCATACCCATCCTCATATAAGCGACTATTTACATGTCTCGCATACGGGTATTTTTGTGGGTGCCCATAAGGTTTGGATCCATTTTGTCATCCTTACCATCGTCACCAAGTTAGAGAACTCACAAGTAAATCACGCTCGAAACCATTCATCTTACGTCTGATGTGGCTAAGTTAGAGAGCTCTCCTCTAACTCATGTCCAATGCTACCAATCTCTAGCTTGCATCATGTTTGGTATCATGAAGTTGCACTTGGCATGATAGTAATTTCTACATTTGGTAGAATTGTGATTTTGGCTCCCATCACCTAAACGTCAATCCACAACAACATGCAACGCAACCATACATCACAATCAACTCATACACATCATAATTTTCAACATGCAAAACATTATTTTTCTCAACTTCTTCAAAAACCAACTAAAAACTCAAAGCCTAAGCATTTTAATCTTAAATTCAAACAACACAACTAAGAAAGTGCATAATTCAAACAAGGATTCAACAACGAAAATTCAAGAGTTTCCCTTACCTCAAATCGTCCAAAGAAAAGGTAGAAGAAAGGAAAAACGAAATCCTTCAACACTCTGCACGACAATTCCAAGTCTTAGATTCTCAATTTCAGAGGCTTTGAATCTTTATACAGCTACTCAATCTCACTCAAGGGAAGACTCTATAAATTTGAAACTTAGAAGAAGAAGGAAGAAATTATGACTCTATAACTCCTCTCTATAACTTCTCCTAGTTTTATTGAGAAGTGAACTTATAAAGTTAATGTCTTAAGGAAAACTTTATATACCTTCCACTAAATTTGGTTAACTTTGACTTAAACTCATAATTACTCACAAAAACTCCTTAATTCTCAGAGTTTTATAACAATTCAAACAATTAATCACAACGTCAATTAAATTTATAAAATCAATATACATAATTAAAATTCACAATATTACACGTGAAAGTATGTCATTTTACATAATAATATTCATGAAATTTAAGTAAAAAAGACAACTAATACTAACTTTGTGAATAACTAATCTTTAACAAGAAAATTGACCACCTTTGATAGAGTTTATTTTCTCAATCATTTTTTATACACAAGACTAAAACTTAACAATTAAATAATTCAATTTATGCTTAATTCAAATGACTTGTTGATTGAGTTTTCTATTTAATTATGATTATACAAGTTTTAGACTTAAATATGTTTTTAGTGATTCAAATGTGATGTAAATATTATTTTGGTATCTCAAATTTAAAAATAATTTTTAGTCAAAGTAATTTTTAAAGAACTTATTTTAGTATATTTATTCAATGTTAATGAATTAGTAAAGCAAAACTCACATATTATTAAATTTATAAAAAAAAAGCTCATTTACTTATATATATATATATATATATATTTATATAAATATAATAAACCAAAACTCATTTATCAGTACTTTTATTAGTAACAATAAAATATACCACATTAAAGTTAATTAATGTTACATAATTAACTTAATTTATCTATATCAAATATATCATGTTATTCACGTAAAACAAGTCACACTAATATTTCGTTGTTATTGTGACAAATAGTTGGAAAAAAAAAATACAAATAGTCAAATGTTAAAATTTGAAAGCATATTTATGAGAAAAAATGTGAGGTAAAGTTTGTCAAAAATTGAAAATAAGATTTGTAAATATAATTTTAAATAATTATTTTAATTCGTATATTAAGAGTATTTTACGATTAATTCATATCATAGTTGAAAGGTAGGCGAAAATTGTTTTGTTGAAATTTGTAAAAATAGTCTAATCCCAAAAAGGTGGTGTAGGCATTTGAACCTTCAAAACTGGTGTTTGAGGAAGGGTACAACGAACATAAAGGTAAGAATGCAATGTGTCCGAAGCAGTAAACGACGAAGTGTGTAGTCTTTAAGGAACAACCATCGAGTTTTAGGGTGAATTGGGCTTCACTTTACCAAGCACCCTATCCAAGTTTAGGGTCACTCCCCTTTCGTTTTAACTTTTAAGAGCCCCAGGTTGTCGCCAACTAATCCCCAACCGTTTCAGATGCTCCAACTTCATCGTCTAAATTCTTAAATATATTCAAATCATTTTTTATTTTAAATATATCAGGGTTTTTGATTTTAGAAAAATATATATTTTTATTTTATTTTTAAGAAATATTTTTTGTTTTTAAATTTAGAAAATATGTTTGGGTTAATTTTTTTCTTCTAATTTTAGAAATTGAAAATATTGAAAATGTGTTTAGTTTACCTGTTTTTAATAATAAATTTATAATATATATCCTCAATATATTAAAATTATTGTATTATTTATTTATTTTAGTAATTATTCTATAATTTATTTAAATAATTAAATATAAATATAACAAGCAAGAGTAAGATTATTTGATCAAATTATTTTATATTAATTCAAAAAAAAGGAAAACAAAAGATAGAAAGAAAAAAACTTATGGAGGAAGGGGTGGTAGCATTTAGGCCCTTCGTAGGGCAAAACAGGTCTTCTCTGTGATGATTGATTATCATCAATTAATTATCTTAAATAGGCTAAAAATCTAATTTGGTCCCTTATAATCTTTTTTTGTTTCAATTTAGTCCCTCATTAATTTTTGGTTTCAATTTAGTCCCAAATTAATTAATTAGTTTCAATGTGGGACTTCCGTCCAAATTATTTAAACGGAGTTAATTTTTGGCCACGTAGATGCATACGTGGGATCCATGTGAATGAGAATTTTTTTTGAAAACACCTGGACCGGAACGGCCCGTTCTGAAACCGGAACGGGCCGTTCTGGTTGCAAAATTAAAACACCATCAGTGACGCAGAACGGGACGTTCTGAAAATCATGCTTAAAATTTTTCTGATAAGTTATGAACCAGGAACAATGGTCCATAAATGGAAAATATAAAAATGGGCTGATCACTGGTTGTTGATAGCAAATGATGGTGGAGGATTAGGAGTGTTTTAGTTCAGCTGAAGATGTAGTAAAATTTGTCGAGACTGTTAACTGAATAAATTTTTTTTCCTGTTTTCATGCAGGGTTCTTATTAGGCCACATCCTGCAATTTGGCGCTTGGTTCATGGGATGGCTGTTGTTTACCTTGTTGCTCTCACTTTTTTGCTTTTTCAGGTTGGTTTTCATGTCTCAATTTGATTGTTATTGATGTATAAAGTTTAATTATCTTTGTCAAGCTTCAAATTTGCATTTTACACTAGGTTCTTGCTTACTTTTCGGATTTGCATCTGTTAGCTTCCTCGATTTTTGTCTTTGTCTTCTGTTGCGTAATTTTTTCTCATTTGTTACTCTGTTTCCAGCAAGTGAACAAAGTGGACTAACATTTATTTTCAATTTTTGTCCCTGCAGAAGCGTGATGATGCTCGACAGTTTATGAAGTTTCTTCATCCTGATCTTGGTGTTGGTAATTCAATCTGATTCTTTATTATTATAAGCTTTGAATTGATTGAAATTAATTCATTATGTATATATGTTGTTTTTGAGATTTGAAATCCTTTTTGGATAGTCATGGATCAGCCGGTTTCCTTCAGTTTAAAATTTCGTAATTACTGTGTTTGATCTTGGCAGAACTTCCAGAAAGATCTTATGGTGCTGACTGTCGTATATATCTGCCTGAAAACCCTGCAAGCAGGTTTAAGAATGTTTATGTATGATTTCTTTCACAACCTTTGTTTTTGCCTGATCTCTCCTAAAATTATTTTGTTCTTTAATTTATCATATTTGGACCTACCATGACATGAGGCTTATATATTGTGCTTCATTTTTCAGGAGACACTTTTTGATGAATTTGTTCTAGCTCATGTTATTGGATGGTGGGGGAAGGCAATATTGATTCGTAATCAGCCCCTTCTTTGGGTGTTATCAATTGGTTTTGAGTTGGTGGAGGTAAGCCCTGATTTGATTAAAATATCTATGATTTTTTCACATAGCTCGCTTTAAATGGCTGGGGAGGCAAGCTTGACTTTTGTTGTTGTTTTGGTATAACTATATCTTCTGTGTTGTTTACAAACCATTCTGTATTGGCATCTTCAGTATACTTTTCGTCACATGTTGCCAAATTTCAACGAGTGCTGGTGGGACAGTATTGTTCTTGACATCTTGATCTGCAATTGGTTCGGTAAGAGTTTTGGATCCATTCTATTTTGCACCGGATGCAAAATTAACACACCAAAAGTGCACCTAGAACGGCCCGTTCCGGTTTCAGAACGGGCAGTTCTGGGTCCAGGTGTTTTAAAAAAAATTCTCACCCATGTGGCATCCACGTATGCATCTACATGGCGTCCACGTGGCCAAAAGTTAACACCGTGAAAGCAATTTGGACGGAAAGTCCCACATTGAAACCAATTAATTAATTTAGGACTAAATTGAAATCAATTAATTAGTTTGGGACTAAATTGAGACAAAAAATTAATGAAGAACTAAATTGAAATATAAAAAAAATTATAAGAGACCAAATTAGGTTTTTATACCATCCACTTATTTTCACTTTTACAATTGTGGGACCAATTTTCATTACAGAACTTCTCGTACACAGTGTGATAGGTGCAACTGTTTAGGAGCTTCCACTTCACGTATATGTCAATGGAAAGAATAAGATCAAATTGTCATTAAAATTACAAACTGTATCATCGCCTTTTCGATTCTCCATTTTCGTTTTCAGAGAAAAAGGTGAAGACAACATTATTTTTGTTTTCAGTTTTTCACTCATTTTTTAAAATGTTTTTAAAGAAAATGCTTTCAACAATTAGTTAAAAGGAAAAAAAAACATATTAAAAAATGTGAAAATCAAATCAAGATATCAATTTTTATTAATGGTTATAAATTATAAAGTATTTGGTAAATTACATTATTATCTTTAGTTATTTTTATACATATTTAATAATCTACAAAATGGAATAAAATATAAAAAGTAAAAAAGAAATATGAAAGATAATTTTCATAGCAATATTTTGGAAGTAGCACTTTCATAACATGAGAATCTGTGGCAGTGATATGAACCTTCTTTAAGAGCAACTTGTTTGACTAATGTAGTAAAAAGGAAGGGCTTAGAAAACGTCAATTACGATCATAATTCTGTGTAAGATTCGTTGGATCAGTTAGTGATGATTGTGCCAACGCAGGGATAATTTATTGCAAAAATAAATAAATAAGAATTTGGCAATCCAATGAAACGATATGTTCACACAAACCGTGTTGTTTTAAGGTTTTGCTAAATATATGCTTTAGCATTTCTTGACTTATCTTGCAAGATAATGACTATGCACAAAGGAGTTACAATCACGGCAACGAAATGATTAAGTTTAAATTTAAAATTTTGCGTATAATTGCTCTAAATTTAAGAAGTGTTTGATACTCAAACCAAATATAATTTTTAAAACAACTCTTAAAAAAAAAAAAAAAAAAGATTTTTTTTTTTTTTTTTTGTAAACGAAGAACCAAAAGATTAGTTTTGAAAAGAAAAACCCGTAAAAACTAGACCAAAGCAAACCCGAATGCCGAATGAACAAAATCTATCGACAGAAATTCGGGATCAGATATGTTCAAAATCCATCATCAAATTTATTATTTAAAATAGAGTAAAAAACCTTAATTCAAAATAGCAGTTGGTTCTTGTCTCCTATTTGTTTTGGTCTTGTTTGTCTTTTCAGTTGAACTTTTTTTCTTTCTAATAAATATGAAAAAAAATAAAAATAAAAATAAAAGAAAAGCAAGACAATACAAATTTTTACATATAAAGGGTTCTAATTTTGGTTTATATATATATATATATATATAAGTATAATTTTTTATTTTTAAAATGTTTATATTTTTATATTTTTTAATTTTTTAATTTTATACCTTTAACTTTTAATTTACTACTTTTCTCATCTCTTTCACACGCTTATTTCATTCTTTTTTCAATTTTTATATGTACCTTCTTGTCTTCTTCCAATTTTTCATATTTTTCAATAGGTAATTTTAGTTTCATCAAATTTTACATTATTCTCTTTTTTTCTAATTTCTTTCACTTTTTCACATGCACTCAAATTGTAAAACTAGTACGCGACAACATTGTAGATATGTGCAACTTCTTCAATAATTTTTGTTGAACTAAGCACATTTTTTTTTATTTCGATCCTTCCTCTCCTTTCACACCTCAAAAAATCTTGACATTAAATTTACTATTATCAAAAAGACAATTGGAAACAATAATTTCATTATTCTATAATAATTTTTAGATAGTGAAATTAGTGTTTTTGGAAATAATTTTTCATAATTATATTTTTTACATACTTTCGGAATGAACTTTTCAAAATATTAAATTTAATATTCCATAAAGTATTTTTTAAAAGTATATGAAATAACACACTTATAGAAAGTATTAGAAGTATGCAAAATTAATGTTTCGGGAAGTACTTTTTAGAAGTATGTTGTTTTATATAATTTCGGATAATACTTTCAAGAACACTAAATTTACTATTCTAGAAAGTACTTTTTGGAAGTATGTTAAAAACTCAATTTTGATAAATGTTTTTGGTTATCATTTCAATAAGTACTTTTTGTAACACTAAAATTATTTGATGTGTTTTCTATACGTGAAAATAGGGGAAGCACTCGATGAAAAAATGCACATTTGACTCGGCACTTTCAACACTGTTGAGAAAGTCACACGCTACTATTAACTATACCTTACGGATGCATATGAAAACTAAAAGAAGGGAGAGAGAAGATAATGGTGATAAAATTGAAAGAGGAGGGAGAAGAGAACAATGGAAAATTGAAAGAATTAATATTACCTGCTAAAAATTATAAAAATGAAAGATATTTTAAATTTTAAATTATTTTTTTTTTAAAGAAAGTATACTTATTAAAAAAAAAAGAAAAAAGAAGAAGAGGTGTATACATCATGAAGCTTGTGGTTCTGTAAATATGGTTTGTTAAGAATCAGATCGCGATGGTGTCCAAGTCCAATAGAAAGAAAGAAAAAGAAACAATACATACCCAGTCCACGAAAGTTGCGAAACCCTAATCCACGACTATTTTGGGCCGTGCCTCCAAATACAAAGCCCAAATAAATAAATTTTGCAGTAAATGGGGTAAAGAAAGAAATTGAAGCCCAAAAAACCTTGGCCAGGAAAAGTTAAAAAACAAAAACTTTTTTTTGGTACATATAAATGCTAAACCGAATAAACAAAAAAACAAGAGTTAAAAAAAAAAAGAAGAACGATAAGCATAGAACTGTTAGAAGAAAAATTGTGTAGTGAAAATAGTTGCATGTCTTTCATATTTCATTACAATTGTGTTAGGGTTGAATGAGAAATACTTCTTGCAAATGAATGAAAAAAAACACTGTTACAGTTGGGTTGTTTATAACATTATATATATATATATATATATATATA